AAGACTTTTTGTTAAAATTTTCAAAAATGGCAATTTATGATGATATAGGTTAGTTCAGGTCGAAAAATATTTTTTCTCCCCGAGCGTCCTACACATCTGAAAAACTCCAAAGACACTAATTTTGACATGATAAAAACGAATCAAGAATCAGATTTGGTCCAAGACTTTTTGTTAAAATTTTCAAAAATGGCAATTTATGATGATATAGGTTAGTTCAGGTCGAAAAATATTTTTTCTCCCCGAGCGTCCTACACATCTGAAAAACTCCAAAGACACTAATTTTGACATGATAAAAACGAATCAAGAATCAGATTTGGTCCAAGACTTTTTGTTAAAATTTTCAAAAATGGCAATTTATGATGATATAGGTTAGTTCAGGTCGAAAAATATTTTTTCTCCCCGAGCGTCCTACACATCTGAAAAACTCCAAAGACACTAATTTTGACATGATAAAAACGAATCAAGAATCAGATTTGGTCCAAGACTTTTTGTTAAAATTTTCAAAAATGGCAATTTATGATGATATAGGTTAGTTCAGGTCGAAAAATATTTTTTCTTTCCGAGCGTCCTACACATCTGATAAACTCCAAAGACACTAATTTTGACATGATAAAAACGAATCAGGAATCAGATTTGGTCCAAGACTTTTGGTTAAAATCGAGGTTAAAATTTTCAAAAATGGCAATTCATGATAGTATAGGTTAGTTCAGGTCGAAAAGTATTTTTTTCCCCGAGCGTCCTACACATCTGAAAAACTCCAAAGACACTAATTTTGACATGATAAAAACGAATCAAGAATCAGATTTGGTCCAAGACTTTTCGTTAAAATTTTCAAAAATAGCAATTTATGATAGTATAGGTTAGTTCAGGTCGAAAAATATTTTTTCTCCCCGAGCGTGCTGCACATCTGAAAAACTCCAAAGACACTAATTTTGACATGATAAAAACGAATCAAGAATCAGATTTGGTCCAAGACTTTTTGTTAAAATTTTCAAAAATGGCAATTTATGATGATATAGGTTAGTTCAGGTCGAAAAATATTTTTTCTCCCCGAGCGTCCTACACATCTGAAAAACTCCAAAGACACTAATTTTGACATGATAAAAACGAATCAAGAATCAGATTTGGTCCAAGACTTTTTGTTAAAATTTTCAAAAATGGCAATTTATGATGATATAGGTTAGTTCAGGTCGAAAAATATTTTTTCTCCCCGAGCGTCGTACACATCTGAAAAACTCCAAAGACACTAATTTTGACATGATAAAAACGAATCAAGAATCAGATTTGGTCCAAGACTTTTCGTTAAAATTTTCAAAAATAGCAATTTATGATAGTATAGGTTAGTTCAGGTCGAAAAATATTTTTTCTCCCCGAGCGCCCTACACATCTGAAAAACTCCAAAGACACTAATTTTGACATGATAAAAACGAATCAAGAATCAGATTTGGTCCAAGACTTTTCGTTAAAATTTTCAAAAATAGCAATTTATGATAGTATAGGTTAGTTCAGGTCGAAAAATATTTTTTCTCCCCGAGCGTCCTGCACATCTGAAAAACTCCAAAGACACTAATTTTGACATGATAAAAACGAATCAAGAATCAGATTTGGTCCAAGACTTTTCGTTAAAATTTTCAAAAATGGCAATTTATGATGATATAGGTTAGTTCAGGTCGAAAAATATTTTTTCTCCCCGAGCGCCCTACACATCTGAAAAACTCCAAAGACACTAATTTTGACATGATAAAAACGAATCAAGAATCAGATTTGGTCCAAGACTTTTCGTTAAAATTTTCAAAAATAGCAATTTATGATAGTATAGGTTAGTTCAGGTCGAAAAATATTTTTTCTCCCCGAGCGTCCTGCACATCTGAAAAACTCCAAAGACACTAATTTTGACATGATAAAAACGAATCAAGAATCAGATTTGGTCCAAGACTTTTCGTTAAAATTTTCAAAAATGGCAATTCATGATAGTATAGGTTTGTTCAGGTCGAAATAGTTATTTACACTACAAGGGAGGCAAGTGATACTTACCAGTCGAGGACATTGTTTGCGCCCGAGCGATAGCGAGGGCTTGCAAAATAGTCCGAGACTGGTCAAGAACACTGCCTCCCGAGTTTTGTATTATATTTTTTCTACTCCAGTTCGCTTAGATTAAAAAAAAAGTTTTTCTACTCCTTACTCAGTAAGTACTTCATTTTGATACTGATTTGAGGGAGGAAAACACGTTCTATCTCCCTAGGGAGGTAAATATTTACTTACCTCCCTAGGGAGGTAGAACGTGTTTTCCTCCCTCAAATCAGTATCAAAATGAAGTACTTACCGAGTAAGGAGTAGAAAAAATATTTTTTCTCCCCGAGCGTCCTACACATCTGAAAAACTCCAAAGACACTAATTTTGATATGATAAAAACGAATCAGGAATCAGATTTGGTCCAAGACTTTTCGTTAAAATTTTCAAAAGTGGCAATTCATGATAGTACCTATAGGTTAGTTCAGGTCGAAAAATATTTTTTCTCCCCAAGCGTCCTACACATCTGAAAAACTCCAAAGACACTAATTTTGACATGATAAAAACGAATCAAGAATCAGATTTGGTCCAAGACTTTTCGTTGAAATTTTCAAAAATAGCAATTCATGATAATATAGAATAGTTCAGGTCGAAAAATATTTTTTGTCCCCGAGCGTCCTACACATCTGAAAAACTCCAAAGACACTAATTTTGACATGATAAGAACGAATCAGGAATCAGATTTGGTCCAAGACTTTTCGTTAAAATTTTCAAAAACAGCAATTCATGATAGTATAGGTTAGTTCAGGTCGAAAAATATTTTTTCTCTCCGAGCGTCCTAGACATCTGAAAAACTCCAAAGACACTAATTTTGACATGATAAAAACTAATCAAGAATCAGATTTGGTCCAAGACTTTTCGTTAAAATTTTCAAAAATGGCAATTCTTGATAGTATAGGTTAGTTCAGGTCGAAAAATATTTTTTCTCCCCGAGCGTCCTACACATCTGAAAAACTCCAAAGACACTAATTTTGACATGATAAAAACGAATCAAGAATCAGATTTGGTCCAAGACTTTTTGTTGAAATTTTCAAAAATAGCAATTTATGATGATATAGGTTAGTTCAGGTCGAAAAATATTGTTTCTTTCCGAGCGTCCTACACATCTGATAAACTCCAAAGACACTAATTTTGACATGATAAAAACGAATCAGGAATCAGATTTGGTCCAAGACTTTTGGTTAAAATCGAGGTTAAAATTTTCAAAAATGGCAATTCATGATAGTATAGGTTAGTTCAGGTCGAAAAGTATTTTTTTCCCCGAGCGTCCTACTCATCTGAAAAACTCCAAAGACACTAATTTTGACATGTTAAAAACGAATTGGTTTTCTTTTTCGCATAGAAACTCAATCAGATTAGATTATGACACCTCTTAATGAGCACCAGCATGAAACATGTAATACTGTATGTCATCCATTTGTAGTTGCCCCACATGATTACACATACGCAGACATTTGGTAACACTACTTGAAAGAGGTAAGTGAGTCAAGGTACAAGGTTAAATGTTAAATCGAATATAATTAAAAAAATATATCGTGGGCATCGAGAGAGGCAGTTTTTCATCGTTTTGTTCTGTTCTGTTCGAAAGTTACAAATTACAAGTGGGCGTTTAATGTGTTCAAAAGAGGTATGAAATTGCAATGAAGGGATTCAAAAACATTCAAGAATATCGGAAATATTTCGATAAAATGAATACTTGAACCAATACAGTGGGAGTCAACCAAATCTTCCTGGTCCTTCAATAGAGCAGTTCAGTTACCGTTGAGAGAGAAAAAAAATGTCTTCCCATATGTCCTTGTCTTCAGTGTTCCAACATAAAATAATGAAAATCTTATGCTGCCAACACTGGAAATGAGAAGAAATGGAGAAGAAGACCGTTCTAACCTTCTTTTATATCGAGGTTAATATGATATTCTTCTCCATTTTTTCCCATTTCCAATGATGCCAACATAATATTTTCATTATTTTATATTGGAACACTGAAGACAAGGACAGATGGGGAAGACATTTTTTTTTCTCTCTCAACGGTAGCTGAACTGCTCTATTGAAAAATTGCCATGTTATCCAAATCTGGTGATTCAATAAATTCAATTCTTTTCTCCAACTGGTACTTTCATTTTTCTGCAAACTTCATTTACATTTAAAGTTTCCAAGCAACTGCTTACTTGCTTTATAATAAATGAGGGTTGCTGGGCTGTGTGCACGTGTATACAGTGTGTCCACCTTAAAGATTTTCAACGAATTTTGTCAAAGAATAAAATATTTAAGCGAAACATAGGCAAAATTAACATGTTTTAGAACGTATATGCTTATTTATCTAAAAAACGGTTCGTTTCTCGAAAAAAATTGAGGAGCAAAAAAAGTCTCTAAATTGAACGATCCACACAATTTGATCACTGAACGATGCCAGAGGCGTACTACGAAAAAGTTTGAAGGGGATAAAGAAGCCTCTACTTCCAAAAACGTATCACCCTGTAGATTTTGAAAATCTTTAAAATGCTTGAAATGATGATCTTCTAGGAAGTATTGACCACACCAAATTTCAAAATGATATCTTGAAAAGTAAGCGAGATATTTCAATTAATAGAAAAAAATAATTAAACTTTGACCCCCTGTAGCTCCGCTACTGAACGAGATCGGACTAATGTTTATATAAACTTTTTTGATTAAAATGATGAGATCTATCTCCCACTTCAGTTTGTGCCTTAAAACCTGAATCACCCTGTATAATAAATGTCAGTCAATCCAAGTAAATTATTCTGCAAGATGCATTGATAATGCTGAACCAAATGACTTATGAAACCCTAAAAATGAGCAAACATTCACAAGTTAATTCGTGAATAATGAGTCAACCTAAGCAAATAATCTAATCAGGAAAGTAAATACCTACCTCTTTATTGATTGAAGTACAATCTGACAACTAGAAATTCCTAGAAAGTGATGAGCCTGGAACTGAATATTTCCTTTAGAAAAAAAAATACAAATAGGAAATAATTGCAATGAAATTTCATGAATTTTCAAAATGAATTTGTCGAAGAGTTTGTTGTGAATGTTATTTTCTACTTTCATACAGTTCGGCTATCTATGATATCATAATACTTTAGTTTTCTACTATTTATTTCAATGCTCATCGTTCGCCAAATTGGATACCCTAATTTGACCAAAAAATATCTGAATCCAAAAACCCCCAGAGCATTTTTTTTTATCGCTTGGAGCGCACGAAAGGGAATCCCTATAATGTTCAAAGAACATCGTGCGTACCTAGGGAAGATAGGGACAGGGGGTAGGTATTGGAATTTTTTTGAACTTTTGGAGATTATAATTTTATGTTGTTGGGAATACAAAACTCGCCCGCCATCTTGAATTCAAAATTTTGATGAAGGGATCATAATCTCCGACCCCGGAAACCTCCATATACCAATTTTGAATAAAATCGGTTCCTAATTACAAAAGTCGTCCGCCATCTTGAATTTTCTGATTTTGGCAAAGTAATCATAATCTCCGACCCCGAAAACCACCAGATACCAATTCTTAATGGAATCGGACCAAAATTACAAAACTCGTCCGCCACATTGTATCCGCCATATTGAATTTTCAAATTTTGACGAAAGAATCATAATTTCCGATCCAGCTTTGCCCAAAGACACCAATTTTGAATAGACTCTGACCATAATTACAAAACTTGTCCGCCATCTTGAATTTTCAATTGAAAAAATAGCTTACGACCGATTCTCAGACCTAACAAGATAAATATACAGGGTTGGGCAAAAGTATGAAACCAGGTGAATATCTCGGTAACCGTTTGTTAGATTGTTTTGAATATATGTACAGGGTGATTTAAAAACGTGGTGGATTCAAAAATCTTATCGTCGATGTTGCCACTTTTTCAGTTATTCCGGAATTATTATCAAATTCATTATTTTAAATAGAACACCCTGTATTTTATTGAATTTTCAGATTCTCCCTGAAAACCTCGCTATCATAACTTTTGATCTACTATCTATTGGTATTTAATGGGAACAGGATACTGGGTGATCAGATTTCTGAATCTTGAACCACCCTGTATTTGTTTCAATTGAATGTCGGTAGATAGTGAATCAAAAGTTGACGTGGGGACATGAAGGCCGTTTTGACCAATAATGAATAGTTTTGACACAAAAAAATCCTGAAGTTGAAAAATCTCGATTTTGAACACCCTATATCTCAGTAATCATTCTTGCTAGACCCCAAGTGCAATGAGTCGATGAAAACAGCTTTTCAGGGAGAATCTTTGAATCCAATAAAATACAGGGTGTTCTATTTAAAATAAGGAAGTTAATAGATAACGGCTTTACAGTTTGAGATAGATAGACAAAAGTTCCAGAGATGATCTAGGATCATGAGCAGCACATTTCCAAATTATTTCGCTTTATACAGGGTGACTCAGAAATGCGTGGCGTATCAAAGTTATACTTTTTCTTATGGGACACCCTGTATTTCATTGCATTTTCGCATTCTCCTTTGTGAGCTGATTTCATCATTGCATCACACTTGAGGTCTAGCGGGAATGGTTACAGAGATATAGGGTGTTAAAAATCGAGATTTTTCAACTTTAGGATTTTTTTTGCGTCGAAACTATTCATTATTGGTCAAAACGGCTTTCATGTCCCTATCCCAACTTTTGATTTACTATCTACTGACATTTAATTGGAATAAATACAGGGTGGTTCAAGATTCAGCATTCTGATCACTCTTGTATCTGTTCCAAATAAATATCAGTACTTAGATAGTAAATCAGAAGTTGGGATAGGGACATGAAAGCCGTTTTGACCAATAATGAATAGTTTCGACGCAAAAAATCCTAAAGTTGAAAAATCTGGATTTTGAACACCCTATATCTCTGTAATCATTCTCGCTAGACCTCAAGTGTGATGCAATGATGAAATCAGCTCACAAAGGAGAATGCGAAAATGCAATGAAATACAGGGTGTCCCATAAGAAAAAGTATAACTTTGATACGCCACGCATTTCTGAGTCACCCTGTATAAAGCGGAATAATTTGGATATGTGCTGCTCATGATCCTAGATCATCTCTGAAATTTTTATTCATCTATCTCAAATAGTAAAGCAGTTATATCACTTTACCACACTAATGACTCACCCTGTATATTCGAAGAAATCTGACAAACGGTTACCGAGATATTCACCTGGTTCCATACTATTGCCTAACCCTGTATACAAAAAATTTCGTAGGAGTTTGGCAAACAAACACCATGACACTGATAATTCCGCGTCATAGATTAACTGTTAGCTGCAAAAACCTTCTGAATATTAATTTATACAATACTCTTCACTCATCTGTCAGGGTATTGGAGTTTAAACAAGTCAAATCTGTGAAAGTTTCTCCTGAATAACTGTTTTTATGATATTGACAGTTACATGATATCGGCTAATTCACTAAAGATCTAATCAATTTTTCTGCCATGCTTTTTTTTTTTAACTTTTCAAGAATCTGATATGAATTTTAATCTGTCTGTTCTGTACTCTAGAATTTATGTATTCTTACAAATTTTACCATTCAACTTTTATAATATTAATTATTTTTATTTATTTGAAAATTTACCAAGTATTTTACTTCTTCAATAATTATGTTGTTCTTCGAAAACATGTTCTTAATTGTGACTTACCATAGATGTATTTGTATGTATATAACATGGTCAAATAAACTACTCTACATTACTCTAATGGACATGAATGAGAATTTTATAGAGGGTGTTTGGTAATATGTGGGACGCACTTCCAGAGGTGATAGGGCGTCTCAAGAAAATAGAAAAGTTCTCGTTCTCGCGTCCCACATAATATAACTAAACACCCTGTATATCAGATGGAATCGAGCAACAGAAAAAACATATCTGACCTGCGACTGGTGCCTCATCTGCTGCACCATCGACTGCTGCGCCGCCAACGACTGTTGGGCAGCCTGCGGTGGGGGCGGCAAGTACTGCCCGTGGGGCGGCATCGGCATGCCCCCGGCGTGGGCCAGCAACTGGTTGGGCATGTAGACGAGGTGCTCGTGGTGCTGCTGCAGCTGCTGCTGCTGGTGCTGCAGCATGGATTTGGTGTGTTGCTGCTGCTGCTGTGACATGTCGTACGGCGATGGGCCGTTACCATTTGGCGGGGTGGATATTTTGGTGTTCACCATCGGGTATTTCCATTTGTCGTGGTTCTACAATAGATAGATAGAAATCTTTATTAGTTTTTTCGTTGCTCATATTTTTTTCTCCGATTGGCAGCAAATATTAATTTTCCTTCGATTGGCAGCAAATATTAATTTTGCTGACACATATCAATCAGCAAAGTATTACTTTTCCTGCCTAGGCAGCAAAGTGGTCACTTTGCTGATTGATATGTATCAGCAAAATTAAAAATCCATTAATCGTTTATAATTTCCTTCATATTTCATCCGAGACTTCCCCGGCAACGAATTCAACTCTATATTTTTTGCCACCTCCCTTATTAATGGAGGTGTAAGTATACTTCCAGGTCGCTATCACTGTCCATTATATAATAATTTAAATATACCGATATTTTTTCGCACAACTGTCAGAAATTTCATGAATTGTCAAACCAACAACTGCGATTTCTATCAAATTTCATTTTAATTGAACACTATACAGTACAGGAAGAATAAATAGATTGTGGGAATTGTATTAATTCGCAAATACAATATTCTCCCATATCATAATGAACAATCGGAGAAAAAATTATATGTTCAACTCGGCAGCAAAGTAGATTGACTGCCTTAGCTGGATTCCTAGCCTCGCTAGGCTCGGCTATGAATTCATCCACGGCAGTCAATCTACTACTTTGCTGCCTAGTTAAACAAATAACTATTTGCTGACACATATCAATCAGCAAAGTATTACTTTTCCTGCCTAGGCAGCAAAGTGGGTACTTTGCTGCCTAGGCAGCAAAGTGATTATACTCAATGGGAATAAAATATTTGACGTAAACATTTATTAGCAAATATTACATAAATCGTTTATAATTTCCTTCATATTTCATCCGAGACATCTCCGGTAACAAATTCAACTCTATATTTTTTGCCACCTCCCTTATTTCTGGAGGAGTAAGTACTTCCAGGTCGCTACCACTGTCTATTATTTAATAATTTAAATATACCGATATTTTTTCGCACAACTGTCAGAAATTTCATGAATTGTCAACCTATAATTATTATGGACATTTCCATAGCAACCAATCATTCCAACAACTGAGATTTCTTTAAAATTTCATTTTAATTGAACACTACAGGAAAAATAAAGAGATTGTGGGAATTGTAATAATTTGCAAATACAATATCCTCCTATATCATTATGAACTATCGGAGAAAAAATTATATGTTCAACTCGGCAGCAAAGTAGATTGACTGCCTTAGCTGGATTCCACTACTTTGCTGCCTAGTTAAACAAATAACTATTTTTTTTGAAAATGATGAGTAAATAAACTGCCATGCTAGATTAATTTCCTGGGAACTCGTTATCTGGCAAAAAAACTAAAAAAAGAACATGCCAGAATTCATCGTTTGAGTTTTCATGTCAGATAACGGTATTCTCGTAAAATTAGTCTAGCATGGGATTTTCTTTCACCATTACTTCCTAAAAAAAAAACGAGCAACAGAAAAATATTAAACTAGGAATACCATGATTCAACGAACATGGTATGGTCATTTTCAATTCAACACATCATCAGCCGGAGGAAACAACTGTTTTCTGTGATGAAGAGAAATGGAAAAAGTTTAAAGTTTTACAATATGGTAACAAAATAAAAAAGTTGCTGTGTCATCTTTTCATGAAGCTGGCATGGACTAAATTTTTGCTATATCAGCATAAGCAACACATTTTTGGAAAGTGGAACGAATTAGCAACTAAAATTCTGGTAAAAAATGTTTTGAATTATGTTGAAGTGGTCGTGCCGGCGTCAAGTCTGCTTTTTTTTTTAAGGAAACAGTCACCCTGTTATTCTTTCGGGTTCTTCTTGAATAAAATAGTAGATTGTTTTATTAGGATCAAAAGTGACACTTTGTTTGACAAGCGAATTTTGCATTTGCGAGGCGGAGCGTTTAGCGAAGCCGAGCGAGAGCAAAATTTGCGAGTCGAACAAAGTCACTTTTGATCCGAATGAAACATGCTATTTTTTCTGCAACCGAAACAATTAACTCAAATAAACATGTGAAGTAACCGTCAATGCCGTGCCATATGTATGCAATGCAACAAATATTGACAAATAATCCGTGTGGTGCATTAACAGCAGGTTAGGTTTTCAAGGATGTTCGAATTGTAGTTTCAATATAAATACAACCACAGAGTGACATATTTGTGTATGGACCAGGTGCTCTAATGGCAAATACCGCGCCAGTGCCAGCTATAGGAACAAGACGTGGAAATGTTAGGTTAGCGAGCATATCAACAATGATAATAGTGATTATTTATTCCTCTCCATACTACACTGTGTTTGACTTGATAACCAAATGAAGCTAAACAATATCGTTGTTTGAAACAAAAAAACTATTGCTTGCCGTGATTATTCAAAAACAAGTTATCCATCCCGAGAATAACGAATGAAATACATATCAAGCAAGTATTAGAATCTTGAAGGCTTCCCTGATCAAACAAAAATACTCAGCTGAGATGTTTATAATTCCAATACTAAACTATAATAAGGTGTATTTATATCTCCAGCATGGGTATGAAATGCCAAATCTGCTGAAATCGGAAACAAATCAGGTATGCGTCTCAAACCAAATAACCAACCGTCACAATGTTGTTTATTCTTGATGACGTCCAGTACATCCTTTTTAGTTCCTAGGAGCTAAAGTTCAACTTTAGCTCCTAGGCACTAAAATTCAACTTTAGCTCCTAGGAACTAAATATGTTGCCTAGCAACATACCTATTTTTGTGTCAGTAATAGAAACGTCAATTTAAGAGCTAATTTTGGTATCGAAATGGACGACTTTTGTGTCGGTTGCAGAAAAAATATATTTCCGTCTCTTGCAATTTTTTTCAAAAAAGTCCGATTAAAACTGATCGATAATCCGGTAACAGGTATCCACTACTCACATCGATGATGCTGTCGTCCCCGTGAGCCCACCTCAGCTGCTTCGGCCCGAAGGGCGGGAACTCGGGATCGGGCGGCCGCTGGAAGATGTACCCGACGGCGGCGTCGTCCTGCGTGCGGTGGTGCGGCCCGCCCCCCTGCTGCCCCCCCGCCTGCTGCTGCTGCTGTTGCCCGCCCCTGTCCATCTCCGCTTTCAGCGCGCCGCCATCTCCCTCGCCGCCGGCACCCAGCCACTTCATCGGGGTCACTGTGTGGCAAAACGAGAGGCAAACAGGCTTTTAGGCTTTTATACAGGATGTTCCTTAAAGGACATGCTATAATCATATACACATAACATGAAGCCGATTTTTGAAGACAAATGACTATCCATAAGGAAAAGTTTTGAAACGATCAGACACATACTGCTTTGATTGAAAGGCTAGTAAACGTCATTGTCCACCGAAACGCATGTCTTTGATGACTACTATAATAGCGCATGGCGCATGCGTATCATGCCACCAAATCCTTATGGATATTCATTTGTTTCATATTTTTGGCTTCATCCTGGCACCCGTTATGATCCGTATTGTTTATTAATACGTATATGGTTATAATATTCGAGGAGTAGATTCTTTAACTAATTTCAAGAAAAAACTTCCCACTTACGTATGTCCTAACAATCTAAACTTTTGAGATACAAGGTGATGAAGTTTTGAAAAAAAAAAACAGTTTTTAATAATAACTGGGATAATATTGTAGACATCTTCCCAGCCATCTTCGGACGGCCGAAAGTGCCAGAAAACTGCGGATATCCACGCGAATTATCGCTTTTCCAGTAGAAAATGACACGCTGAATCGAATGAGACCATGATCAGCCCGACAGGACAGATAGTTTTTGAGATATCGGCGCTCAAAGTCAGCTCTCCGCTTTTATTGCCAATAGGAGCACTCCGGTAGGCTACTACGTCTCCATTTTCCAAAATTTCCCGATTTCCACTACAGATTCGTTCATAACGACATCGAATTAGTCTATGTGAATTTTTTCAGATTTTTAATTGGCCAAATAAAAATTTTCATTTTCCCATCTGAGACTTCAGTACGATATAGTCACCGAGCCATCTTCGGACAGCCGAAAGTGCCAGAAAACGGCGGAATTCCACGCGAATTATCGCTTTTCCAGTAGAAAATGACACGCTGAATCGAATGAGACCATGATCAGCCCGATAGAACAGATAGTTTTTGAGATATCGGCGCTCAAAGTCAGCTCTCCGCTTTTATTGCCAATAGGAGCACTCCGGTAGGCTACTACGTCTCCATTTTCCAAAATTTCCCGATTTCCACCACAGATTCGTTCATAACGACATCGAATTAGTCTATGTGAATTTTTTCAGATTTTTAAAAAGCCAAATAAAAATTTTCATTTTCCCATCTGAGACTTCAGTACGATATAGTCACCGAGCCATCTTCGGACAGCCGAAAGTGCCAGAAAACGGCGGAAATCCACGCGAATTATCGGTTTTCCTGTAGAAAATGACACGCTGAATCGAATGAGACCATGATCAGCCCGATAGAACAGATAGTTTTTGGAGATATCGGCGCTCAAAGTCAGCTCTCCGCTTTTATTGCCAATAGGAGCACTCCGGTAGGCCACTACGTCTCCATTTTCCAAAATTTCCCGATTTCCACCACAGATTCGTTCATAACGACATCGAATTAGTCCATGTGAATTTTTTCAGATTTTTAAAAAGCCAAATAAAAATTTTCATTTTCCCATCTGAGACTTCAGTACGATATAGTCACCGAGCCATCTTCGGACAGCCGAAAGTGCCAGAAAACGGCGGAAATCCACGCGAATTATCGGTTTTCCTGTAGAAAATGACACGCTGAATCGAATGAGACCATGATCAGCCCGATAGAACAGATAGTTTTTGAGATATCGGCGCTCAAAGTCAGCTCTCCGCTTTTATTGCCAATAGGAGCACTCCGGTAGGCCACTACGTTTCCATTTACCAAAATTTCCCGATTTCCACCACAGATTCGTTCATAACGACATCGAATTAGTCCATGTGAATTTTTTCAGATTTTAAAGAAGCCAAATAAAAATTTTCATTTGCCCATCTGAGACTTCAGTACGATTTAGTCACCGAGCCATCTTCGGACGGCCGAAAGTGCCAGAAAACGGCGGAAATCCACGCGAATTATCGCTTTTCCAGTAGAAAATGACACGCTGAATCGAATGAGACCATGATCAGCCCGATTGAACAGATAGTTTTTGAGATATCGGCGCTCAAAGTCAGCTCATCGCTTTTATTGCCAATAGGAGCACTCCGGTAGGCTACTACGTCTCCATTTTCCAAAATTTCCCGATTTCCACCACAGATTCGTTCATAACGACATCGAATTAGTCTATGTGAATTTTTTCAGATTTTTAATTGGCCAAATAAAAATTTTCATTTTCCCATCTGAGACTTCAGTACGATATAGTCACCGAGCCATCTTCGGACAGCCGAAAGTGCCAGAAAACGGCGGAAATCCACGCAAATTATCGCTTTTCCAGTAGAAAATGACACGCTGAATCGAATGAGACCATGATCAGTCCGATAGAACACATAGTTTTTGAGATATCGGCGCTCAAAATCAGCTATTCGCTTTTATTGCCAATAGGAGCACTCCGGTAGGCTACGTCTCCATTTTCCAAAATTTCCCGATTTCCACCACAGATTCGTTCATTACGACATCGAATTAGTCTATGTGAATTTTTTCAGATTTTTAATTGGCCAAATATAAATTGTCATTTTCCCATCTGAGACTTCAGTACGATATAGTCACCGAGCCATCTTCGGACAGCCGAAAGTGCCAGAAAACGGCGTAAATCCACGCGAATTATCGGTTTTCCAGTAGAAAATGACACGCTGAATCGAATGAGACCATGATCAGCCCGATAGAACAGATAGTTTTTGAGATATCAGCGCTCAAAGTCAGCTCTCCGCTTTTATTGCCAATAGGAGCACTCCGGTAGGCTACTACGTCTCCATTTTCCAAAATTTCCCGATTTCCACTACAGATTCGTTCATAACGACATGGAATTAGTCTATGTGAATTTTTTCAGATTTTTAATTGGCCAAATAAAAATTTTCATTTTCCCATCTGAGACTTCAGTACGATATAGTCACCGAGCCATCTTCGGACAGCCGAAAGTGCCAGAAAACGACGGAAATCCACGCGAATTATCTGTTTTCCAGTAGAAAATGACACGCTGAATCGAATGAGACCATGATCAGCCCGATAGAACAGATAGTTTTTGAGATATCAGCGCTCAAAGTCAGCTCTCCGCTTTTATTGCCAATAGGAGCACTCCGGTAGGCTACTACGTCTCCATTTTCCAAAATTTCTCGATTTCCACCACAGATTCGTTCATTACGACATCGAATTAGTCTATGTGAATTTTTTCAGATTTTTAATAAGCCAAATAAAAATTTTCATTTTCCCACCTGAGACTTCAGTACGATATAGTCACCGAGCCATCTTCGGACAGCCGAAAGTGCCAGAAAACGGCGGAAATTCACGCGAATTATCGCTTTTCCTGTAGAAAATGACACGCTGAATCGAATGAGACCATGATCAGCCCGATAGAACAGATAGTTTTTGAGATATCGGCGCTCAAAGTCAGCTCTCCGCTTTTATGCCATTGGAGCACTCCGGTAGGCTACTACGTTTCCATTTTCCAAAATTTCCCGATTTCCATCACAGATTCGTTCATAACGACATGGAATTAGTCTAAGTGAATTTTTTCAGATTTTTAATTGGCCAAATAAAAATTTTCATCTTCCCATCTGAGACTTCAGTACGATATAGTCACCGAGCCATCTTCGGACAGCTGGAAGTGCCAGGAAACGGCGGAAATCCACGCGAATTATCTGTTTTCCCGTAGAAAATGACACGCTGAATCGAATGAGACCATGATCAGCCCGATAGGACAGATAGTTTCTGAGATATCGGCGCTCAAAGTCAGCTATTCGCTTTTATGCCAATAGGAGCAGAGCACTACGATAGGCTACTACGTCTCCATTTTCCAAAATTTCCCGATTTCCATCACAGATTCGTTCATAACGACATGGAATTAGTCTAAGTGAATTTTTTCAGATTTTTAATTGGCCAAATAAAAATTTTCATCTTCCCATCTGAGACTTCAGTACGATATAGTCACCGAGCCATCTTCGGACTGCCAGAAGTGCCAGAAAACGGCGGAAATCCACGCGAATTATTTGTTTTCCTGTAGAAAATGACACGCTGAATCGAATGAGACCATGATCAGCCCGATAGGACAGATAGTTTTTGAGATATCGGCGCTCAAAGTCAGCTCTTCGCTTTTATTGCCAATAGGAGCACTCCGGTAGGCTACTACGTCTCCATTTTCCAAAATTTCCCGATTTCCACCACAGATTCGTTCATTACGACATCGAATTAGTCTATGTGAATTTTTTCAGATTTTCAAAAAGCCAAATAAAAATTTTCATTTTCCCATCTGAGACTTCAGAACGATAAAGTCACCGAGCCATCTTCGGACGACCGAAAGTGCCAGAAAACGGCTGAAATCCACGCGAATTATCGCTTTTCCAGTAGAAAATGAAACGCTGAATCGAATGAGACCATGATCAGCCCGATAGAACAAATAGTTTTTGAGATATCGGCGCTCAAAGTCAACTATTCGCTTTTATTGCCAATAGGAGCACTCCAGTAGGCTATTACGTCTCCATTTTCCAAAATTTCCCTATTTCCACCACTGTTTCGTTCATTACGACACCGAATTAGTCTATGTGAATTTTTTCAGATTTTTAATTGGCCAAATAAAAATTTTCATTTTCCCACCTGAGACTTTCATATACGATATAGTCACCGAGCCATCTTCGGACGGCAGGAAGTGCCAGAAAACGGCGGAAATCCACGCGAATTATCGCTTTTCCAGTAGAAAATGACACGCTGAATCGAATGAGACCATGATCAGCCCGACAGGACAGATAGTTTTTGAGATATCGGCGCTCAAAGTCAGCTATTCGCTTTAATTGCCAATAGGAGCACTCCGGTGGGCTACTACGTCTCCATTTTCCAAAATTTCCCGATTTCCACCACAGATTCGTTCATAACGACATCGAATTAGTCTATGTGAATTTTTTCAGAATTTTAATTGGCCAAATAAAAATTTTCATTTTCCCATCTGAGACTTCAGTACGATATAGTCACCGAGCCATCTTCGGACGGC